TAAGATGTAATTAACTATAGGGGCTTGCCCTTATAGGGAGCTTTTCCGAACCCAGCTTAAAATAAACCCTATTTAATTATTTGTATTAAATAGGGGAACTTGTCGGCAAATAAAACGGTTTCGCAGACCCAAACGGATGTCATATCTTTCTTAGTTTATTTGATCGAGCCTCACCCTCAAGTCTTGTGTTTATCCCTTGGGGTAGATACAGGATTTGAGGTTGAGTGCTCTTTCATTTAAACTATGGAAAATATGAGGTCAGTTTGATTTCATATTTTTCTAAAATTATATATATATACGTAAATTCAAAAGTCCTTCCGAAGCGGGCGACGAGATTTCGATTCCAGCGACCGACAGCTTCTTACGGGCGACCCCCAAACATTTAAACTCTTTTCCCCTTTTAAGCGCCGACAATGCATTCAGATCTTCTATAAAAGGCCCTCTACCACAATTTTATAATGCAAATCATGTCTTTAGAATGTGACATGCAAAGTATTTTTAGCTTCAATTTTGTGGAACCGTAGAAACAGCTATTAGGTGTCATGGTTCTGACCCATATTTTCATCAGGGGTAATAACAAGATTAATTTATGAGCTTCGTCATCTAAGTTGATATCAGTCATGATCAGTTGAATTGTTATCATATTGAACTTATTGATTTATGTTTTTGTTGAAACGCTCTCAGCCATCCTAAGATTAAAATCTTCTCATTGGGTATATATTATTTACCATTAAAGGCTCCACATGTAGAAACTGCTAAATAAGTCATGGCTCCAACTCATATTTTTGGTAGGGGTAATAACGAGCTTAATGTATGAGCTTTGTCATCTAAGGTTATATCAATCATGATCAGTTGAATTGTTATCATATTGAACTTATTGATTTGCGTTCTTGTTGAAACGCTCTCAGCCATCCTAAGATTAAAAACTTCTCATTGCGTATATTTTAATTAGTGTTAAAGGCTTCATATGCGTATATGGTAGAACCTTCATAGCATTTATTGTGGTCATATCATGTATTATATTGAAGTCAACATTCTTCACTAGTGATAGTCATATAATTCACAATGCCTGTTTGTCCGGTATATCACAATTTATTGGCTCATTTTAATAAGCTTTTACTCAAAGAGAGGTAGATGATCAATTATATTAAGCTTTTACTCAAAGAGAGGTAGATGATCAATTAGTACTTTCCTATCTTTATATTGCTCTTACTTTTCATGCAGAGCTTTACGGCACTTAGCTTTTATACTAGTTGTTGATAAAAAGTTCCATGCTGAGAGCAATGATGATAAAAAATATAGAAACAAAAACGTGAGGAAAACACTAGTAAAAGAAAATTACAGCGTTTATATTACTTGGTGATAACTACTTATTCTCACAACCGCACAGAAGGAAGTTTGTCTGTTAATCTCGAGACTAAAATGGTATACAAGTATTTACCATCAAATATATATTTTTTATTTTTATCTTTTTATATTCGTCATTATATCTTTTATTCACTCTTGTAATCACAATCGCAAATCCCCCATCGGCTAGGCTCACTAGAGAAAGAGGATAACACATCACCTTATATGATGGGCCATCTTATTAATTACCATCCCTCATGGCATCTAGTGATTTACTTTTTTGAAGCCCTCAACTTTGATCAAGCCACCAACTAACCCTTCAGCTTTCGCCTTTAAATCTAACTAAATGAAGGAAAAGAATGTTTCTTGATCTTCAACACCGTATAGTCATCTCCATATACATTGCTTAGAGATGGACAGATAGTACGGAACAAATTTTTAGAGGTTAGATACATGAAATTTGGTGGTAGGTAATATATGTAGAAATTAGGTAAGAGCTGTTTATGAATGTATTTTAGTAGGTTTTGACTTTGTAAGCAAAATTGGTGAAAATCTTTGTAATGTGAACATGGAATGGTAAATACTTTCGGAAAGCTGTGGGAAAGCTGTTTGTAATGTGAAGTCGTTTCCAACTAAATACCAAAATGATGGGAAGGTCTATCTTTCCGACAGTAATTACTTAAATAATGAGTATTGGTAATGTTTACTTCCAAATTATTAATTCCATAGTCAAAAAAAAAGAAGAAAGAATTGGTGCATGGGCTCCTTGGAGCCATAAAGCACCACGAGCTTCATTTTTAAATGCATTGTATAAATCATATAAAAATGAAAAATATACTCATAATTTAAGAGTCAAACAAGCATATAACATGATATGTACTATAATCACTTTAGAGTAAATGACACTCATAATCAAGTAATCAATTAACAAGTTGTATTTAATGTTGGATATTTCCAATCCTAGACCCACACCATTGAGTCTATTATATTGCAATTAGAAACCTATTTAAACTAATAACTTGCTAAGACTTTGAGGACATTCTTGAATCGATCTTCTTGAACTCTATGAGCTTGTTCTAGATTTCACTTTTAGCAACCTTGGCCATTTGGATCCTTGGAATATCTCCAACTATCGTGATTGAAGCATTTCCCTAACCTTGAAATCACTGCATTAGTACCTTTAGATATTTGTTTTAAATCATCAACCTAAATTCTTATTTATCATGGTTAGTGAAGTCAACATCGTTATGTTGTTGCATTTATCCTAGACTATTTTGTTATTAACTTTTCTTGCATCTCCTTTGTGTGGATCTCATTGGCAATGTGATTTGTTCCATAAGATCTAGTCATGGTTTGTTTATGCTCTTCATTGGGATCTCCATCACAACAGTGCCTGTATCCAATGCATGCTGATTTAAAAGCTCCTCTATCACAATTTTATAATGCAAAGAATGTCTTAAGAACGTGACATGCAAAGTTTTTTTTTGTCAATTTACCCCCCTGTGGTAACCGCAGACAACAAGATTCTTTCTTGTTATTTGCATATACCATTTATTATTAAACCTGAAAGTGATATTTGTTTTGTACTGGTTCTTGTGCTCTTCTATGGATTTTCCACCATCAACATGTTAAATAATGAAGGGGTCATGTTTAAGTGGAAGAATTGCTTTATAAATTCTTATTCATAACTCTTTGTTCTTTAACATTGCCTCTGATGCTAACTCTAATTTAAGGGTTTTGGTTGCACAATTTTTTGTTATTTTTATATTTTTTCTATACTGTATTCCTTCCAACACACCATTTCTATAATTTTATTATTTTTTATTGACATTAATTCTATTACATCCTTTGAGATTAATATTTCCTTGGTACATTTTCTCATATAATTTCACCCTATTTTTTTTACTTTTAAAATACCTCCATATTTCTGTCAATGCCTAATTATAGCTGGTGGAGTTCTATGGGGTTGGATCCAGAAACCCAACGTCCTTACCCAATTTCCCTGATCACATTGAGTTCATTATCATCTCCTTTTTCCTGACAACGTCTCCATCTTCGTCTGCTCCTGTCATTGATTAATTCACCACTCCATGCAGCCCCTCTTCCCCTTCCACCAACCTCTGGCTTACCTTCTGTGAATGCTACTGGGGTTCCAAGACATCCAGCTTAGGCGTTTGTCTCTCTTATTTCCTTGTCTCTATATAAAATTTAGGATCTGTTGGAACAACTAATTGGTTTCTGGCACCACGTTGGCACTTGCATCCGTAGAATCCCATCCCTTTTTTTCTTCAAATGGAGTTATTACTGCATCTTTGGCGCCTGCATCTCATCTTCTTTTGTTGCCACCTATTCTATTCACAACTGTACGTTTGCATGCGTTGCAAATTTTAAGTACACCGAAAATGATTTATTGGCAGAGTTCTAAATCCCTCTATACATTACTTCGAATTTATTTTTTTCCAACTAAAAATCGAATTTTAAATCTCCTAATTTGCTCTGCGCTCCTTGCACCTTTAACAGACATCCCTTTAATTTGCTTATTACTGCATGTTTTAGAGGCAGATCAAGGCAACAGGTTCCCTTCTTTTCAAGTGGCTCTCATTTTCTTGCTGCCATGTTCGCATAATATAAGTTTGTCTGTATTTTGGATATGGTATCAAAATACTCACCATCCGTAGTTGATAACATCCCCAAAATTCATTTGTTAACTTCTCCATATTCTTTTTCATGTTTCAGGTTCGAGCGAGCTATCTTCCTCCTCGATAACTCTCGTAAGTGGGTTTCTTGCGGTCATATCGGTGAACGTTGTTATTGTAATATATATATTCTCGGCCATGAAGGAGCCGGCAAATCGGCTGCACGAGCCAGATCCATCATTCTTAGCAGCTGCGAAAGCCAGTATTAATCATCCCATGTCTTCAGGAAGCAGCAGCGAAGATGCTGTAATTCGAGAGAAAACAGACTGATCTACTTCTCAAAGTTCTGGCAGAAACTGCTGCTCGCTTTGATGGTTGATACCAGAGCTCTCCAAGAGGTCATGTTGATTTTGTTTCACATTCTGACCAAAACCCTTTTTTTTAATTAATTTTTGCTTTCAAAATTTGGAGCTTTCAAAATGAATTTCATGTATATCCTTATTATTATTATTGGAGGAAAAGATTAGGTTGTGGCCCTGCAGAATAGTTTGAGGGCGTTCCTTTTTTATCTTTGTTTGAAATTTGCATACACACCACATAATTCTTATTTATTTACATATTTAACACCAAAAGTTTGATACTTACACCTGTAATACATTGGTGTTGTAAACCTGTGCATGAATAAGCATTTCTCTTTTAAAAAGGTAATGATAGTGATTTTTTTCATTTTGTGATGTTAAAGATTCGAGTGGAATGCATGTAAGTTTGAATCTTTAGGTGCTAGATATGTAAATACATAAAAATTATGTGGTATGTATGTAAACGCCTCTTATTAAAAAAAATTAATAATCTTTCTGATGTGTTCATCAGCAATTATCTGTGTAAGAATGTTGCAGGTGAATGGAACGGTCCACACATTAATAAATCAATTTGGGGGGGTGGGGAGGTTTTGGGACTAATAGAAAATTCAGCCCGGCTTCAACCGTTTACTGGGTGGGGGAGGGGGCGTACAAGCATTGTTTTTTTTGGGACTAATAGAAAATTCAGCCCGGCTTCAACTAGAATGATCGAGTACACATATAGGGGTACAAGCATTATGTATTTTGGGACTAATAGAAAATTCAGCCCGGCTTCAACTAGAATGATCGAGTACACATATAATATAAAACGTATGTTATCGTGGAAGCAACGGTTTCAACGTTACACTCTTAGGGCGCAAAAGCAATTCATAATTTATGTTTTGTGATGACTAATGTGTGGCAACAATCAATAAAATGTTCTCTCTCTCTCTCTCTCTCTCTCTCTCTCTCTCTCTCTCTCTCTCTCTCTCTCTCTCTACATGCATGTATATACAAATGAATGTACACATACATAGTACGTACATACCTATGTATGTATGTGCCTAACTATGTACATATGTAAGCATTTGTGTGTGTACAACAAAAATGTGTCAGCGTGTGTGTACAATAAAATTATGTCAACGTTGATCCTGAGGAGATCTGAAAATCTATAAGAAAATAATATGATGGAGGGCCAACTTGCCCGACTGAGTAAAGTTGTTTGAGTCAAGCCAACTAGGGCAAAGTCGACTGTAAAACGAGAAGTTGAAGATGATCATAGGATGCAAGAAAGAGCAACTCAGTCATAAATGAAACGAAAGATTTTTTGAGGCAAATATCACAAGAGAGTTGATCCAAGGGGAGATCTGATTCCTTGATATCTCCAACCATCTCAGAGACGCCTCATCAGGGGTCAAGGGTCGACAGCCGTGCCATAACAACCAGCCGACTTAGTTGATTTCAGCCGTGTGAACTGATCTTTCCAAAATAAAGTCAATTAAGCTTAGTCAGCCGTCAGGAGAGCAGTCATACGACAATCTCATCCATGTAAAATATCATAAATATTTTAACTAGAATGATTCGAGTACGTATATAATATAAAGTGTATGTTATCGTGGAAGCAACGGTTTCAACTTTACACTCTTAGGGGTTTTGCAAAAATAATTCATAATTTATGTTAAGTGATGATTAATATGTGGCAACAATCAATAAAATGCTCTCTCTCTCTCTCCATGGTATGTATGTATGTATGTACCTACCTACGTACATATGTAAGCATTTGTTTGTGTGGACAACAAAAATATGTCAACGTTGATCCTGGCGAGATTTGACAATCTATAAGAAAATAATATAACGAAGGAGGGCCAACTAATAAAAGATCATGAAGCTGACTTGCCAGACTAAGTAAAGTTGTTCGAGCCAAGCCAACTAGGCCAAAGCCCACTGTAAAACAAGAAGTTGAAGATGATCATAGGATGCAAGAACGAGCAACTCAGTCATAAATGAAAAGAAAGATTTTTCAAGGCAAATATCACAAGAGAGTTGATCCAAGGGAAGATTTGATTCCCTGATATCTCCAACCATCTCAGAGACGCCTAGAGACTCCTCATCAGGGGTCAAGGGTCGACAGCAGTGCCATATCAACCGACCGACTCAAATCAACCAAGCTCAGCTGATATAGCCGATTTCAGCCGTCTGAACTGATCTTACCAAAATAAAGTCAATTAAGCTTAGTCAGTCGTTAGGAGTGCAGTCAAACGACAATCTCATCCATGTGAAATATCATAAATACTCCCATTACATACTTATTTAAAGAAAGGGCAAAAAATGTAATATCAAAATGTTGTACCCGCTTTTCTATAAAAATGGAAATTATTTTAGGAATAAGACAAGATGGATTATTATCCATACTCCTAACTCATCTTTGTCTTTGTTTGCCCTTACTTGCAATTTATTCCTTGAGTGTGATTCACAGACAAATTAGGATTTAACATCCTGAAAGGTACGGTGAACGTGAATCATGTCACAAACAAGAAGATGAGTAACCCAATAAGAAGAAACCCACAATAGAGACACTGATAATATGGAGTACACTAGAGACTTTGTAACCCAACAAATAAAGGAGTTGAAGGATCAAATTTTGGATGCATCTGAGACGTGTTGATCGGAGGAAGTGATCGACAACATTGACAAAAAGGTTGACACCCAATGACAGAAGAGGTCCCCCGCTTTGCAAAGAGGAGGTGACTCCTAGTACTTCAAGAGTCCTAGGTCAGCACCGATCAATCAACATCAGTTCGGGTGTACTGAAGCACCATGATAACCTGAGAATGAGTTCTCTTGGAAAATCTCTAAGGGCAAGCCTCTAGAATGATTCATGATCCCAACACTAGAGTCCTATAAGGGGCGGGTCGATTCAATTCACTACATAGCCTCATTTAAGTTGACATTGTGTTTACTGAGGATTATTAACCCGTGAAAATGTATTCTTCTATTTACCACACTAAGGGAGTCAGCCCAGAGGTGATTTAATGGATCACTGATAAGAGTAATCACATTCTTTATCGATATAAAACAGTTGTTTGTGTCGCATTTTTACAACACTCATATGCCTTAGAGGAAGTCAGAGGCCCTCCTACAGATCTGTCAAGGATAGAGTGAGAGCCTTCACTCATTCATCACACACTTTCAAAAGGAGATGTTGAAAGTGCGGGACCTAGAACCCGTAGTCACCCATGCACCCTAGCTCAAGGGCTGAAGGAAGGGTCTTTTCTGATACGCATTAGGCTTGTAGTGGTCAAAGATGCTATCCATGTTGTTGGAGTTGACCAATAATCATGTATTAGCCGAGGAGTATAACTACAACCTCGCTTCCTCCAGAGTGGAGTCTTTCAATCATGGTCCGTAGAAGAGGACTGTCTAAAGTGAAGAGTCAAGAGACATGATTCACGTGCTCTTTCTTGATACAAGGACACTCGGTTACCTTGAGATCATAGAAGACCAACAAAATGCATTGCCAAGGAAGTCAGGCTTGGTACTTTGACTAGCGTTTGACTTAATACAATGAACATTAAATACCAAACCATGAAGTACGCAAACCAAATTCTTTGACAGTTTCAATGGTTGGGGTTGTAGAGGCCATACAAAATAAAAATTACTGCAAGAGACACCCCGAACAATGATTGAATTTTATCTCTGATATCCAAAGAAGGATCATGGGTATGACACATGGTATCAGCACGTCTGATGCTTGGTCAAAGAGCTAATCAATGCTAAAAAAATGAAAAAGTTTGTGGCAACAATAGCAAAGAGCCAACGACAAAGGAAGGCTCCAATGGAGAAAATATCGAATTAGCTAGTTCGAACCCATAAAATCTACATCATTGGCATAGTCCATACATTTTTGAAGGAGGTGGAGACCCATCACAACATGCCAACCTGAAGAGGTTTTGATTAGGAGAAATATGTGCAACTACCCTTGTACTCAAATGAAGATCACATCCTCTGATAGCCTTCACCATCAATAATTTTCCTATAAAGGGTAACCTCTATAATGATGCTATTATTGTCATCGCATTGTTTGATAACTATCGGATTGACAACACTCTCATTGATATTGAAAAATTCATGAACATTCTGTTCAACTTAGTGTTAGAAAAAAATAGGCCTCAATAATAAACAATTGACAGTTGTGGCCGACTCATTATAATCTTTCTAGCAAGAGGAAGGAAGCATTAGGAACTATCCCTCTGTCGATCATTTGGATAGAAAAATATAAGCAACTCGCCAACATGACTTCAGAGTGGTTGACTCGCCACCCACTTACAATGCTATCTTTGGTCATCCCCTGCTTAATTCCTTTAAGGTCGTCACCTCAACCTACCATGTGGCTTTGAAGCTTTTGGGTCACTGAGAGGTGATTCCTATTATGAAGATCTCAAGCAGTCTTGCATTTTACCTTCGAGCGGTTAAAAGCTTCTAGAAGGAACTTCTCGAGCATGATAATTTATAAGAAGGGGGTCTCAAGACTAGTGAGAGCAGCCATTAGATTCCGACGACCAAAGGCGACGCTAGTATGTTTTCCTGCTAAGTGATGCTTTTGATGTAGGGTACAAGAAGGCATTGATCGACACCCTTTAAAGCCACTGAGATGTTTTGATCTAGTCAGTCATTGAGATGCCTGTCACAACCGATGAAGTAGAAGACGAGGACGTCGGTCATCATTTTAACCAAGCCGATCAGGGAGGAGGTCCAAAAGCTATTGGAGGTTGGTTATATCCAAAGGTCCAGTATCAAAAAAGTTATTAGGTCAATGCTTAATGAGTATAAATCATCTAAGTATTTTTTTAGCGGAAGAAGTATATACCACTTATTATGTGCTCATTAGGGTGAATGTGAGGCTAATATGGACAAAACTCTATATGTACTCTTAAATGGAAGAAGTCCAAATTTGTCGCATCTATGCAAATGTTTTATACTTATAAGTAGAAAAAATAATCTGGGAAATTTTGATGCAAAATCGGATGAAGTTATTTCTTAGGGTATTCACATTTAGAGAAGGCCTATAAAATTTTTAATAAAAGAATTCTAGTAGTTAAGGAGTATGCACATGTCACATTGAATGAATATTATCTCTCAACTTTATTAGTAGAAATTGAGAATGAAGATGAAATACAACCTAAATTGGAAACCTTGGAAACAAATGAACAAAATGAATAACAAAATGATAATTTAATATTAACAAAGGAATGGATATATGCATAAAGTCAACCAAGAAATCTTTTAATGGGAGATTTGTTAGTGGGTGTTAGGACTTAAAGTGTTCTAATGGTCTCAATGTCACAATGATTGGGTA